AGGTGCAGGTGTGGATGCAGGTGCAGGTGTAGATACAGTTGCAGGTATAGATTCAGGTGCAATTGTGGATGCAGGTGCAGGTGTGGATGCAGGTGCAGGTATAGATTCAGGTGCAGGTGTGGATGCAGGTGCAATTGTGGATGAAGGTGCAGGTGTGGATGCAGGTGCAGGTGTGGATGAGTTAGCAGGTGTGGATGCAGGTGCAGGTGTGGATGAGTTAGCAGGTGTGGATGCAGGTGCAGGTGTGGATGAGTTTGCAGGTGTGGATGCAGGTGCAGGTGTGGATGAGGGTGCAGGGGTGGATGCAGGTGCAGATGTGGATGCAGGTGCAGGTATAGATGCAGGTGCAGGGGTGGATGCAGGTGCAGGGGTGGATGCAGGTGCAGGTGTGGATGCAGGTGCAGGTGTAGATACAGGTGCAGGTGTAGACGTGGGTGTTGATATGGACAGATAAGGCAAGGAGTTCAGGATGGAAAATGAGGTACATTGAGAATGGTCACTCTGGTGTTGGGAGAGCATTTGTTCCAAAAGGACAAAGGAACAGATAACTTTTCAGTGTACCATAAACAATTGTCCTTCAGATAATCCCAACTGGAGGTCTATGTAACTGAGGGAAAATTTCTTTGAAATTATAGTTTATTTACTCTTAGTACCTATATACTGGTGGGGACATACTCATAATGCAGTATTTCTGAATTTCTAGAGTAAAATGAATACAGTTGACTATGAATATGTCATTGTAATATGAGTGCATATGTTCATGATGGCACAGCCCTGGTCTTTCAGAACACGTCTCTTCCTTACTTACTTTTCTTTAAAATGCACTCATGGCTGCACAGTGTGACACAGTAGATATAATACAATATGAAAAGTCTTCATAACACTTACATGATCAAAATTCTAAGTTGAGTCTTAATAATGACTACTTTAGTCACATAACAAGATTCAGGGTATAGCCCTAAAACCACCGTTTATAATCTACATTTCCTGCATGAAATGTAAATTTTCCTGGTTTTCACTCTACTTGTCTTTAAAATGAAGAATACAATTTCTATTCTGTTTGGCACCCTTAGACTATATGAAGAGAAGTGGTTTATTTTGTGTGATAGTACTGGGTAAGCTTAAAATACAAGGCAAATGCAAAAATTATTCTGGATTTGTCATGTAAATTACATATCTAGATAATTGCTTTTCATGTTTTCATTTAATCAACACAATTTCTTGAATTGATGCCTTTATTTCTTACTATTATATTTAATTTTCAAGCTTATCTTAACATTCATTATCTGATAAAGAGCAAAACAAGAAATATACATTGGTTTGTAGCTCCAACAATTAAAAAAATTCTTCCAAAATCTTATTAAAAATGAAAATCAACAATCTGAAATATATACAAGAAAATTAGTTATCGTAATTATTCTCACAGTACTGTATTTTCCTTTCTTCACATGCTTTTGTCTCATTTAATATTCTGTGTGTTTGAGATCTATGACATATTCTTACCTTTTCCATGAGACACTTCAATGGTCCAGGTACAGTTTAGAGAATTCGGATAAAAATCTGGAAACCCAGGAGAAAGGACTGTTCCACTTTTCCCATGAATGTAGCCTCCACATAGGGCTTAAAATAATAAAGAGAGATTATCATTATTTATGAGCTTCACAATGACTTCTAGGTCACAATGATTGCTAGAACAAAATGCTTCTAAAATGACAAGATCAAATGTCATATCCATGAAAAATCAGGAAAACCTGCACTTTCACTTGCAATGGTAACATGCCAGTTCATGTGCAGGTATCATAACCAGGGCAGGACCTTGAAAACCCCAGAGGTGAAGAGATGCAGCCAGCCACGTGCACAGACCAAGCAGACTGGGCCTTCCATGAGCGGCTGGTCTCTGCAGCGCCTTAGTGAGATTAAATCCCCTACAACAAAGTGTGCCATGTTCAAAACCTAACACAGACAGAGACTCATTTGTAAAGTCAGGAAAAGAAATTATATATAATGATTTCAGTGGAAAAGTAGCAACTGTTCGAATGTGAGTATAACACTGGCGTTGAAATCTGCAGACGCGTGACATGAGTTTACACTGCAGCCCTGCTATTTGCTGGCTCTGAGATCTTTAGTAAGTCATTTGCCTTCTATCCAGGACATCTGTCTTCAAAATGGAAATAGTGATAATGCCCATCTCATGGACAGGAATTTGCAGTGATTGCCATTGTAGAACACAAGTTACAGTGTCTCATCAATATTAAGCCCACAAAACGTTAGCTACAGACAGGAACTTGATCGAGGCAGAGTCCTGAACAATAATATCAATCAAAGCCACCTATTGGTAACTGTTCATTTGTTTACTATTGAATTAGTGCAAATTAGCACATTAACGTATCAAATTTTGTGAGAAATTTAAAACATTTATGAAATTAAACCATTTTATGTAAAATTGAGATATCACCTGTCTAAAGTCAGGAGTCTTGACTCTGAATTATGCATATTTCATGTAAACTGATAAAAGTTGACTTGTAGCCAGCTACATTTAAAAATGATCAATTTTTTTTTTCATCCTCTGTCCTAATGCCATGAAGAAAAATTATTGCCTCACACATTGGGGGAGTCCTGGCAGGGGTGCTCTGCACACACCTCGGTCCCTAGAAATCACTAACCCAGCCCTACCACACTGCCCTTTAGGAGCCAAGTCCCAGACACAGTTACAGACCAAGCGGTTCTGATGCTTATTTCGATTCATGTGAGTCAAACACAACACAGTCTAATTCACACACTGTGAAGACTTTGTATAAAAATAACTTCATAAATCCTACGTTTTTTCAGGAAAAGGAAATGTGATGTACAGAAAATTGAATTTTTATTCTCATCTAAAATTAAAGAGAGGAGGGAGTGAAATAAAATACCTGGCTTACATTTCAGTGCTCACACAAGTCTGTAACTGTATCCATATATAGACATGCCAATATTCCCAAGGCACAGCTACAAATATAGCTGCACATAATTTGAATTACATTAATCTATTTCTTTATGCATGGTGGAGTATTTTCTGGGCAGTTGTAAAAGATGCAGTAAAATTTTACTTTTCCTATCCTTAATGTGATAATTTCTTGAGTTTTACTGTATATATAACCTACCCAACATCAAGGACACTGATAACAGTATATTGGAATTCTTTAGGATAGAGGATTAAGACACACGAAAACATAAAAGACTCAGACAACGGAGGCCCAAGAACCTGCATTCAAGGCATGTGAACTGCCCTGTTCCTCACTTAGCCTCAGCAAATCAATTTGTAACACCTAAAGTTCTTACTTCATTTTATGATTTAAAAATGTCTTTCTTCTCCCTATGCTGATGTCTTGCAAACTTTTTAACAGTGTTGCTACAAATATGGCCATTTTCCAATCAATGCTTGAGGAGCGTAAGGAGTTTGCAAAAATATTTATTTAATAAAAAAATTATTTCAAAGTTTTCCTACATTTGTCTTTCACCAAATTGAAGGAAAATTATTTATCCCAATGTTTACCATATTTCTGCAAACTAGGGCATGATAAAGGTTAACATTAAAAACAAACTGAACCAGTGTTATGGAAACGGGGAAGATACTGGTAGAGTTTGTCATTCCCACAGTGGTAAAAACCATTATAACTCAGTCTCATTCCCTATTCCTTTACTGAGAACTATGCATTTTTGTTTTTCAACTTTTGGCCAGGGCAGGGTTTGAACCCAGCACCTCCGGCATATGGGGCCAGAGCCCTACTCCTTTGAGCTACAGGTGCTGCCTGAACTATACACTTTTGAGGGTTTAAATATCCTATTTGCGTATTATTTGTTACAATAAAAACTTGAGTGGCTTAAGAGATTGTTTGACTAAGTTGAAAGAGCAGTAAGAACAATGATTACACTTATACCTGAGACTAGTCAACCTGATGGACTAAGACTCACAAATCAAACACTGAAAGCTCCCAGTTGCAGATTTCTTAGTAGTCTTTTACCATAAATTCATTATTCTCTGAAACATATTTCAGTGTGGCAAAAAAAATCTTCATGCTACCAATACCCTTGAAATCTTTAAATTTAAAATTTCCAAAACTTTAATTTGGCAGCCAATAAAAAAACAAAATACACATTTTATGTGTGTGTATTTTAGGGAAAACACCCAACATACACCTGGCATCTGGACAGCGTCTCGGTGACCTTCAAGGTGTTTAGGCCCTTTGTGTCTGTTCCTACCCCGTTCCCTGGAATCATTCCCTTCTGATTTTTGTACTTCAGCTAACCTCCACAAATTTGCAGAACACACCATGCTGATCAACTCCTGGTTGTTTTGTTGATTTCCTCTACCTAAAAACTTCTTTACATGTTCACAACTTTGGAAAAATTCCTCTCATCATTGGAATCCCAGGTCAAATGTTGTATTGGTGATAAATTATTGGTCAGTTCCTACTCCCTAGGAGTTTGAACTCACACTAAGGACATTGTATCATGTGTGTACAATATACCTATTAAATCCAATACATGATAGTAATAAATTTTAAATATATACGTCATCATGGTACACACACACACACACACTCAAGATTATACATTTAAAGTTAAACTCTATGGAACTAAATATTAGGAGAATTGAAAGCCGGAGGGGTCCGTGATGGTGGTATCCTGAGATAATTCCGGAAGAATTCTGGTCAGGGTGGATGCAGCCTGGCTAGGGGTGATGTCTAAGATCATGGCACATGCGGGAAGCAGAAATGAAATGGTTACGTGTTTAGTTGAGGGGAGGAAGAGAACAAGCCCGGGAGAGAGAGGTCCTGTTTGCTAAGTTGATTGCTGGATAGAGTAGATTATAGTCCCAGTTGGATACTGAAATTGTTTTTGTTGTAAAGTAAGTTGCCAAGGCTCAATTATGAATTCATGGGTAGTATTTTAATGCACTGGAACATGAGTGTGTCCTTTTCTTCTGAGAAAAAACCCGATTCAAAATCAAAATTACAGCTGTCAAATGAGACAAGGAACAGCTCTCACCTGAACATGTCAGTTTTCATTACCAAATCAAAAGCCTGAATAATGTGATGACTCCTACAATGAACAAGGTGGTTTCATCCACCACTGATCAGGGGAGTTTAACGTTTTAATCTTTCCAGCTATGACTGAACACTGTGCAAATAAAACAACTCGAGATGCCGTGTATGTTCATGCTTGCAAAAGGGACCTACCTCAGATGAAAATTAATGAGAGGGCAGTGTATTTGTGTTTCATTTCTAAATTCGACTTTTATCTATAGTCTAGGATAAAAAAAATGCACAACATCCAAAAAGGTCATATGTGCCTGCATGTCACATAAATATTCAAATAAAATTATTCACATCATGAAATTATTTTATTGCAAATTTTAAATGAGTAATTTAACAAAATATCAAATTGATTTCAGTTCAGTTATGCACAAAGAAAAATTAAGTATTTATGGGTCAATATTTGGTTATAAGTATTTTTAATACAGAACCTTAAAAATGTGACAAGTATTGTATATGACATTTTCAAGGCTTATAAAATTATAATTTGTCCAGTAGTTATCATCTTTCTGATACTGTCTAAGAGTTATGTATATGCATTTCATTTATTTAGGCTTTCTGGAGTTTTTAATTATGAAAATGAAATATGGTAACAGAAATCTAAATAATATTAAAGTATGTAAGTAGCGCTAACACTTGGAAATCTCACCACGTGCTCCGATACAGCCTGTGTCTCCCAAGAGGAAACATGGTAGCTGCCGTTTCAGAAAGTCACTGTCTGTTGTGTGCATATGTAGCTTCGTGGATACACACAGCACAGCACAGCCTCAGTGAGCCCTGCTCTGTCGCTTTCTGGGTTTTCTCCCAAAAGGGGGCATCATTTTACTTTCCTACCAACAGCCTCAGTGAACGTGCAGCCCCAATCCCTCAGGGACACAGGATATTTTTGTCCTGTTTTGCACACGCAACAGGAGAGGGGCAGTGTGGTGGTTTACTTATCTTTTCCAGATTCCTAGCAGGATGGGAATATATTCTTTTTTTGAGACAGAGCCTCAAGCTATCACCCTGGGTAGAGTTCTGTGGCATCACAGCTCACAGCAACCTCCAACTCCTGGGCTCAAGCTAGTCTCCTGCCTCAGCCTCCCAAGTAGCTGGGACCACAGGGGCCTGCCACAAAGCCTGGCTATTTTTTTTTTTTGGGTTGTC